TTTTTTTTTTTTTTTTTTTAATCCAGAGCATTGCTTTCTGAAATTAAGATACTTTTGGACAGATACAAGTGAGATTTGATAATATTAGCAGCTTTAAGGGGATTTCTTTAATAAATTCATTTTGGGCACAACAGGAGGCATGTGCTTTTATGGCTTAGGTAGATAAAGAAACTCAGAGTTTCTGTTTTCCTATAATGAAGAACATGTGAGTGTTGACTAAGAAATTAACATTGTTCAGAAGACAGAGAACCAACCTTGGAACCAGACTAAGGGCCAAATCATTCTGGCAATTCGGAAAATGTAATCCACCTTTGGGGAATTTATTTTCTTTTCCTTTTCTAGTGTTATTTTCCCCACAATTTTCTGTCAGTTTGTCCTATTGTAGTGACTTGTGTATTCTGGAAGCTATGCCCCCATTATTTTTAAATACCACCACGGTCACCAGTGACACAGGTTGCAGTTAGTTTCCAGGTTAAGACAAATTGTTGTTAAGTGCCGATGAATCGGTTTCTACTCACCATGACCCTGTATAGGGTTTCTGAGTGGTGGCTGGTGAGTTTGAATCATCGACCTTGCAGTCTAGGGCGTATGCTACAGTGCCATACCAGTACTCCAAGACAGACTCCGATGAAGGAATACTTCTGAAGGACTATCCCTAAAAGTATTAGGAATAGGAGCAAAACATAGTCTAATACAGTGCAGGAAGGTGAGCCCCTCAGGTTGGAAGGCACTCAAAATGTGACTGAAAAACAGCTGCCTTATCAAAATAATCTAACAACAAGTTATTTTTTTATTTTTATTTTTTATTTTTTGTGTGTATGTGTTTTGTAAATGGAGTGATATTTTTATCTTTTAACAAGTTTTGCTTTATCTTTTCATAATTTTTGTTTTCTCTTTGACAAGTCTAATTGTAAACTAAATGGAGTGCTGACAATACAAATCAATTTTTATTGATTTTTGTCAGTACTCCGTTTAGTTTAAATTGAACTTGTCAAAAGAAAAAATAAAAATTTCTGTAGCTGTTGATTTTTTTCTCATACAATGATGTAGTATATCATTTATATGGATATATTATATAAGGAAATGCATAATATATATCAATGTATTATATAAGGAAAGAAATGAAATGTCGTAAGTGAATCTGTGCAGATTCACAGGTAGAAAATTTTTAAATAATCATGTTTTATTAATGAAATTAGTAGTGCTGTTGTGGTATCCAAAAGTCATTTCATTAATTTCCTAAAAAACAACAAAATGCATAATGTCATTTATTATTGCAGATTTTATTTTAGATTCAAATTAATATTAAGGAAAATAATATATTTCTGAAATCCATAATTATTTGTGAATCAAGAACATTATTTTGTAAAATTGAGATTAAAAAAAATATGCAAGTAAGATTTGATAATATTAACAGTCTTAGAGGAAAGTCTACAGAAACCGTCTCATTTCCAAGGGAACAGGAAAATGAGCGCATTTTGATAATGTAGGTAGATATCAAAACTCATAGTTTCATTTCTCTCATGAGGTACCACCACCGGTGAGTGTTGATTCATACATTAATATAAGGAGATGTCCAAAAGTTCATGGAAAAGTGGAATTAGATAAAAATTTAAAATATAAACTTTATTATTCAACAAAAGCTTTATCAAAGTCAAAACTCTTTTTTTAAGTGATACCAGTCATTTAATCTATAGCTCTAAAGAAGTGAGAATTTAACCAGGTCAATGCAGTCTTTTTATATTATTCACTGAAAAAAAAAAAAGGGTCTCCCATTAAGGAATTTTTAAGGTTAGAAAAAATAAGTGAGAAGGAAACACATCAAATAAGACAAAATTGCCTTTGTTTGGTGAGAGGAATTAGTGGGAGTATTGTTGTGGTGGAGAATGATTCTCTGGTGAAGTTTTCCTATTTGTTAAAGCTTTGACCAACTTTCTCAAAACACTGTCATAATAAGCAGATGCTATCATTCTTTTTACCATCCAGAAAGTCAACAAGCAAAATGTCTTAAACATCCCCAGAACCTGTTGTCATGACCTTTTCTCTTGACAAATCCACTTTTGCTTTGATGTGACCACTTCTACTTCTTGATGGTGGTGTGCCATGGAGTTGGCTCCAACTCATAGCGACCTTACACAGCGTTTCTGAGGCTGTAAATCTTTACGGGAACACAGTCTCATCTTTCTCCTGCAGAACCACTGGTAGTTTCAAACTGCTAACCCTGAGGTTAGCAGCCTGATTCTTAACCACTCTGCTACCAGAGATCCTTGATGACAGTGATTGTTTTAATTGTGCTTCGTCTTCAGGCAGGATTGTAGTAGTAAAGTCGTGTTTCATCATCAGTTATAATTGTTCCAAGCAATGCTTCAGGATCTGAATTTGTTTTGTTTAAAATTTTTGTTGAAAGTTCTGCTCTTGTCTGCAGCTGAAATGGAAGCAGTAGTTTTGTCACCCATGAAACAGAAATTTTGCTCAAATTTTATTTTCAGTAAGAATTTTGTAAGTGGATCCAATTGCGATGACTATGTATTGGTTATTATTTTTGCAGTTAACCACTGATCTTTTTCAATTAGGACTTCAACAAGATTGATTGTTTCCTCAGAATTAATGTGGATGATTTGCTGCTGAGAGTTTCAACTTCTTCATTGTCTTGTCTCTTCCTAAAATGAGTTATCCATTTGTAAACTGTTAATTTCTTTGGGGGGTATTGTCCCCATATATTTTTTTGTAAAGCATCAATGATTTCACCGTTCTTGCACCTGAGCTTTATCATAAACTTGATGTTTGTTCTTGCTTTCTTTTTAACAGAATTCATATTGTTTTCAAACTGATCTTACGCTTCTTAGAGCTTCAAACTAGATCTTGTTCAGATACGTTACAACAAGTCAGTAAAAGTTTATTTTGGTGCAAAATGTTTTGAAATCCATGCCTAGGTTTTTTCATAATACTTACTTTTTTCATGAATTTTTTAAGGCTTCTCGTACTGTTGAAAAGACAGAGAACCAACCTTAGGACCACAGTAACAGACAAATTATCCTGACTACAGAGAAAAATGGTGGCATTGTAGGATAAGTAGTGTATTATTACTTACAAAGTTGGTGGTTCAAACCCACCAGTCACTACTCAGAAACCTTATATAGGGTCATCATGAGTTAGAAGTGACGCAACAGCACTTAATAACAGCATAAAGAAAAAATGTGATAGACTTTCTGCGAACTCATTTCATTTTCCCTTTTAACCAATGACATTTAAAAATTTTGATAAATAATTTTTAATAGGTCCTGGTGTAGTGCTATATGTTATGCACTAAACTGCTAACCACAAGGTTGGCAGTTCAAAACCACCAGCCACTACTTCAAAACCCTGTGGAGGACCACTATAAGTCAGAATGGACTTGATGACACTTAACAACAACAACAACTAGGTCCTCTGAAAGAAGGTCATGGTGTGATGCTATAGGATAAGCACTGAACTGATAA